TAAAAAAAGTTTATATTATATTTTTAATTTATAAATTTATGAATTTTTGAAATTTATTAAAATATTAAAAACTTTTTAAAAATTTTTATTTATAAACATTTTAATTTTTTTACTATTAATTTTTTTTACTATTAATATCATTATTATCGATTTATTAAATATTTTAACACACATTTAACGAAATGTATAAAGCAATATATTTTGACATATATATAAATGACATATATATCGAAATATATCGAAATATATTTATCGAAAAATATATCGAAATATATTTCGATATGTATATCACTTATTAAAATATATACATAACTTGATATTTTAACAATAATGTATACATATTGTTTTAAAAAACACAAACATGTATTCATTATTATTGTATTCGATATTATTGTATATATTAAAGCAAAAATTAATGAATTAAATGTCGTTTAAAAAATTACAAAATAAAACAGTTTTGTTGTCTATATTATTTTTGATCTTAAAATAAGATTAGTATATAATTAAAATACATGAACTAAAATATATATATGAATATATTAATATATAAATATTGATGTTATAAAAAATATAAGTAAATTAAATTTTTAATAATTTATATATTTTTGAAAGGTATAATTATATATATAAGTTTGTTTGTATGAGTTTTATTACAAGTAATGATAAATCAACAATGTACATTGGAAAATTGATTTACAGTATATTAATAAAAAATAAAAATACTTTATAAATTTATAATATTAAAAATAATACAGATTTTTATTTGAATAAAAATACACCATTTTTAAAATATTTATATAATAGAAACATAATTTTGTTTACAAAATCAATAAGTATTCAAACTTATATATAAAAGCATTTTTATATTTTAATATTTTACATGTAGATTGGTTTGTACATTAATAACTTATAAAATAATAAACTTATATATTCATAAATATGAAATTAAGAATAATCTGATAATCCAGCAGCTTTTTTCTCCTGACTTTCTGTCCATGCTTTGGCTATTGTCTTTTTTATTTCATCATCTCCTTCTTGATACATCTTCTTCATTAAATTCATCAAACTAGTACCAGGATCATTATCTTCACCAATGTCTGGAACTGAAGATGTTTTTGATTCCTTGATTCTCTTTTCTATTCCTGTTACATGTGACCAATGCTTAGCAATTTTTTTGGCAAGAGACACAACCACCATATCTGTTTTAGTTTTAACAGTACTGTTATCTATATTAATATCTTCACATAAATTATTAATTGTTAAACTATAATTTTTATTATCTAATCCAAGAACATGCAGATCTAAAGATTTTTCAGTAAAATTACAAATCACAGCTTCTTTAGGTAATTGATGTACATCTTTCAATGTAATGTACAATTTTACTGTAGTATTTGTTTGATCCCAACCATAGTTATTAAGTTTAACTTCATAACATTTTTTAGAGGAATTAGATACTACATTAGATGATATTGTATGAGATATTTTGTTTTCTTCAATTAATTTTGCTAACTCTGTTTGTAATTTTCTAATTTCAAGATTAAGAATATCTTTACTTCTCTGACGACTTGCTTGTTGAAGTAAATTATTAAATTCTTCAATATCCAATTTTAACTGTAAAACAAAATATGTACATGTTGTTTCTAGATTATTCCTTTAATGAAATTTTTTTATGTAATTTTATTTAAAATATTATTGTAATTATTATTAATTATTATAATTATTATAATTATTAAATAATTATAAAAAAATCTAATATTTTATTTTTGCAAATCACAATATATATTTTAATTAATTTAATGATTATATATAATTTAATATTTCGAAATATCAATATTTTATTTTTTACAATCACATACACAACAATTATCTCCTTATACGAAAATGTTATGTCCTTCTATTATTATAATAATAGAAGTAATGTAAAAAAATAAAAACATTTTTTTACTTACCTCGTCAGCTCTTTTCGACATTGTTTCTTTCAAAATAACCACAAATAAAATTTCAATATGTTTATTAGTAAGTTTATTAGTAAGAAAAAAAGTTTAGCACTCGATTATATTTTCGATTATAATGTTAAAATCACAAAATTTAAGATTTTTGTGTTATATATTTCACTTAATCGACTTGACGATTGAGAATCAACTGCAAACGTTTTACAAACCGTTCAGTTGCACGAACGCACGAACGATAGAAATCTCTGGAAACTTCAAAAACCTGTAAAATATAGAATAGAAATCTTCTTACTTGGAATTATGTATATTATAGTATTTAAAAAAAAATATACATTGTTAACATATAATATTGTGAAATATTTTTGCAATTTTGTTTCAAAATTAAACATTTTTATTAAAATATTTATTAAAATTTCATGTTATTATTAAATTTTTAATCAGTACAATATACGTATGCTACATCAAATTTTTAAAGAAAAATAGAAAATTTGCTTCCATTGTATTTTAAAATAAAAAATTTATCTTTTAATATTGAAACATTGTAATTGATTATCAAATTTTTCATTTTTTAATGAAAAACATTTGAAATATAATAATTTTAATATATCATACATTTTTTTTACAATTGATAATTGTTGTCACATCACATATAAAAATATCATGTAAAATATTAGAATATATTACAAATCAAATAATATATTAGTAAATAAGAATTTTTTTATTTCTTGTATGGTTTTCCAAAGCAAACATAATATTGCATCGTGATTGGTTCATTCAAAATTGATTGACATTTTACTTG